TTATTAAAGGGCATTTTTATTTATTTGCTGAAAGCATGTGTTCTGTGCTCCTATTTTGGTATATATAATTATTTAAAATGTTTGGCTCTGACGTATTTGGATTTGTATCTCCTGCTTCTACCTTATTAATTTTTTAAAAATTATTGTGACTTTGGGTGTTGTGTTCTTGAATGGGCTGTTTAAACTTACTCTTCATTTTCTCAATCTAGAGAAATTGGTATCTCTGATTGAACCTGAACTTCCAACCTTTTGGTTATTAACTGAATGCATTAACTATACCATATGAGGATTCTCGGAATATTATTATATGGTCTTAATTACTGTGCTTTTATAGAATATTTTCAAGACTACCTTATTATTTTAGAAAAGACTTTTAACTGTTCCTCTTTTAAGGAGTTGTAGTGACATAGTAGTCATAAGGGGTTGTGCTCCCATCCCAAAGTTCAGGGGCTCACATTCACCAGCTGCTCTGTGGGAGGAAAGCTGGGTCGTCTTCTCCTTGTGATTTGATGCCCCTGAACACCTGCTGTGGAGGGCCAGCTGTCAGTTCCAACTTGATGGTACACAACTATGTACGCTCTAGATTTGTGCTTGTTTAGTGTTTTTCTTTTTAAAAATCTTATACTACATCTTCCATGTAAATGTTCTGTTGAATTTGATGTTCTCCCATTGTCCTTGCTAATAGAAATTGAGCTCCCCCTCCCCTGATATTCATGTCCAGCTCAGTGCTTTCTTGAGTGGAGCAGCTTCTCTACCCTCTTTCTTTCTAGATATGTTTTTTAAAAAAAATTTAGCCTCTGGGTCTGAAGTAGTTGATTGAGAACTTGAAGTGTCAATTGCAGTGTTTCTCCAGAACTGCAGACTTTGGTAGATTAATTTGAGGTGAATTGATTGGCATTGTAATGAAAACATTTTCTTATCTTGAAGTAGATACATTTCTTCATTGTTAGTACATTATTACAATTTCTTCATAGAGATCATACACATTAAGATCGTATTTTGAAATTTTTCTGATTGTAAGTGACATTTTATGTGCCATTTTCTACTTTAGTTTTACTATGTTGGAAATTCAATTGGTGCTTATGTGTTTTGTATTTTGAATATCATTTAAAAATTAAGAGTTTCAATTTTGGTCAATTTTCTTTATTTTTTTTCTGTTATAATCCTAATCTAGAGAGGAGCTCTTGTGTCTAAGTGGTAAGGAGTTGCCCTGCTGACCCCAAAACATGTGGTTTGAACCTACCGGCTCTCTGTAGGAAAAAGATAGGGAGGCTCCTGTATGATTTACTGCCTCTGAAAACCTGCTGGAGGGTCACCTGTGGGTCAGTGCCAACTTAGTGGTACACAACAACAACAATCTAGTTTTTCTCCTTTGAGTGACTAATTTAGTCATCTTATTTACAATACTTACGTAAACTAACTAGCAGAGATCATATTTGTTTCCATTCCAAAGAAAGATGATCCAACAGAGTGTAGAAATTAATGAACTGTATCATTAATGTCATATGCAAGTAAAATCTTGCTGATGATCATTTTTAAAATGGCTAGAACAGTACATCAACAGAGAACTTCCAGAAACTCAAGTTGGATTCAGAAGAGATTGTGGGAAGGGATCTGGATTTAAAGTAGAGAATACTAGAAAGATGTTTATTGTATTTTTTTACTATGCAGAGTCATTTAATTGTGTGAATAACAATTAATGTATCACATCGAGGAGAATGGGAATCCCAGAGCACTCAATTTTGCTCAGGCAAGACCTACACGTAGATCAAGAAGATATTTTTTAAACAGCAGGGGAACACCACATAGAATCAGGAACGGTATGTGACAGGGTTGTATCCTCTCTCTATACCTATTCCGTCTTTATGCTGAGCAAATAATTTGAGAGGCTGGACTTTACAAGGAGGAATGTGGCATCAGGATTAGAGGAAGATTCATCAACAGCCTGTGTTATGCAGATGGTACAGCTTAGCTTGCTGAAAATGAGGACTTAGAAAATTTGCTGCAGAAACATCAGATACAGCCTTCAACATGGATTACATCTCAACATCATGAAACAAAAAATCCTTACCTCTGGGCCAATAGACCACATGATAAATGGAGAAAAGATTGAAATTGTCAGTGATCATATTGTTTGGATCCACAATAAAAACCTTTGGTCCCAGCAGTCAGGAAATCAGAAGATGTGTTATGTTGGAAAAATCTACTGTGAAAGAACTTTCCAAAGTGCTAAGAAGCATTGATGTTATTTTAAACAGGTATATCTAATTCAGGCCATGATCTTCTCATGTACTTGCAGTGCTTCTGAAAATTGGACAGTGAATAAGGATGATAGAATTGTTGATGTATTTGGATTGTAGTATTGGTGAAGAGTACTGAACACACCATAGATTACCATGAGAACAAATATGTCTTGGAAAAATGCAACCAAAATGCTCCTTGGAGGCAAGGATAGTGAAGCTTTGTCTCTCGTACTTTGAATATGTTGTTATGAGGGGTCAGTCCTTAGAAAAGGACATCTTGCTTGGAACAGTTGAGGGTTAGTGAAAGAGAGAAAGACTCTCAATGAGGTGAACTGACACAGTGACTTTAGCAGTAGACTTAAGTGTATCAGATGACTAATATGGTGCAGGAGAGGGAATTGTTCAAATCCATAGGGTCTTTGGAGTCCTAGGCAATTTAAGTCTAATAATAGCAACATAATCTGTTGTTGCTATCATGAAATTATATTTGCTATTTACTTTGTGACTTTTTTTTACTTTGGTAATTACACCCACATCCTGTGCTACTTTTCACTAAAAGTAACAAGTAGCTATTTTTTTAGAGGGTGTTATCTCTCACTTCCACCCTTGGTAATCATTTGCTGCAGAAGATCAAAGACTGCAGCCTTCAATGTGGATTGAAGCTCAACATCAAGAAAAAAGCAGAGCTCTGGTGGCCTAGTGGCAAGAAGCTGCGCTGCAGTCCCAGAGGTATGCGGTTCAAATCCACCAGAGGCTCTGCTGGAGAAGGAGGGACAATCTCCTGTACCAGTCAGATCTGATTTGACGATACACAAACAAAAAATTAATTAAAAAAAACAAACACCCACCCCCAAAAAGAAAAAAAAAGCAAAGATTCTCACCACTGGGCCAGTTGGAAGCTTCATGAGACGTAGTGAAGAGACTGAGATTATTAGCATCTTCAGCTTGTTTGGCTCTGCAGTCAACACTCTTGGTACCAGCAGTCAGGAAATCAAAAGAGGACTTGCATTGTGAAAATCTGCTGTCAGGATCCTCTCCAGAGTAGTGAAGAGCAATGATACCAGTCTAGAGACTAAGGTGCACCTGATCCATGCCATGGTCTTCGCAGTTACTTGCTAAGTATGCATCAGGGAGCTGGACAATGACTAAGGATGAAAGAAGAATTGATGCCTTTGAATTGTGGTGCTGGAGAACAGTATTGAATATACCATGGGCTGCTAAGAGAACAAACAGATTTGTTGTGGAGAGGGTGAAGCCAGATTGCTTCTTAGAAACGAGGATTTTGAATCTCCTTCTGTCATATTTTGGGCAGGTTGGAAGGAGGGACCAGTCCTTGGAGAAGGGCATAATTCTTGGAACGGTGGCAGAACAGCACAAAGAGAGGAAGACCCTGGATGAGGCGGATTGACTCAGTGACTGGAGTAAAGGAAGTAGGTGTGTCAGATGACGAAATTGGCTCAAGACAGAGTGGGGGGTTCAGAGCAGAGTTATATAGGATCAGTGTTGGCTCAACAGCACACAACATCTGTGTATTATATTTTTTAAGCTTTAGGGTACTCAAAGTTTTTACATATAGTTTATAGTCCATAAACCTCCATCTTTTTCAAGTATACAATTTCATGTGTTTTCACAAATACATACATACATACATACATACATACATACATACATACATACATACATACATACCTACGAATCTCTCTTGTCCCACAATCAGGATTTGGGTTAACACTGAAGTTTTGTTGCATTCTCTCCCTTCCTCCAGCCCTAAACTCTGAGCAGCTTTCTATTTGATGCAGGAATCACTAGTATGCATTTTCTGGACATTTTTGTCATGTAGTGTAAGACTTCACTCAGTGTGATATTATATGTGTACTTCTAGTTAGTGTCCGCCTTTTTAAGTCTCCTGTTTACTTCTGAAGCTCTTTCTTAAGTTTGAGTTCTTATTTTTGAGGCTTATATTTCTTTTATGGTGGTGGTAGTTTACAAAGTGGATGCAGTGTCTTTTTACTAATTTATCAGGATAGACGGTAGGAGAAAGGGGTTTGTAGCCAGATATGGAGCACACGTATAAGGTTCCTCTTCCTTCTTGGTAGTAGTAGCCACGTGGGTGCATTCTAAGTCAACATAGCTTGTTTTTATGGGTGTGAAGGTGAGCAGAGTGTCCATAGATGGAACTCACTGACCTGACAGTTGTGCCAAATGCATTTGCCCATAATTCACCATTTCTGCTCTTGTTTTCTATCTGGTTACTGCCTCTATTGATCTAATTCTACTAATAGTATCCTTCTTGTCACTTTCACCTACAGACTATTCCCTTGAGCATTGATTGTGGATCTGAGTAAAATCCATTTACTATGATGCTGATTTCTGTCCAGTTGTGAGAATTTATTTTCTTATGTTAAAGTGTCATTCCTATTGAAAGTTGTCGTCTTTAAGTTCTATCTTTAGTGCTTCAAGTCTTTGTTTTCAATAAGTAAGCAGTGTGGGTTTGTTTGTAAGAGGGTTAGATTGACTCAGTAGTCTTATGTTTTGGGTCTTTTTTTTATGTTCTAGCTTTTCAATGAGGTTTTTTTTTTCAAGATACACTTCCTGTTCGGACAGAATCATATTTCTTTCATAAACCTTTTTGTTTGTAATTATATTCCTTGGAAAACACAGAATGTTAAATAAGTTCCAAATTTAATAAGTGTCAAGTTAGGGATCATAAAATATTTGGCTATTCTGACTTCTTTTTTCTCCCTTTTCCCAATTTAGTTTTTCCATGGTTTGGCTTGGATATCGGTGGAACACTGGTCAAGTTGGTTTATTTTGAGCCCAAAGACATCACTGCTGAAGAAGAAGAGGAAGAAGTGGAAAGTCTTAAAAGCATTCGGAAATACTTGACCTCCAATGTGGCTTATGGGTCCACAGGCATCCGGGATGTGCACCTCGAGCTCAAGGACCTGACTCTGTGTGGACGCAAAGGCAATCTGCACTTTATACGCTTTCCCACTCATGACATGCCTGCTTTTATTCAAATGGGCAGAGATAAAAACTTCTCGAGTCTCCACACTGTCTTTTGTGCCACTGGAGGTGGAGCGTACAAATTTGAGCAGGATTTTCTCACAGTATGCATTTTTTAGCTTATATACAACTTATAGTAATCTGATTGTTAAAAATAATACCATTAGAAAGATTGGTGTAAACCAGGTAGAAAGATTGATTCCATCTCTAATGGAAATGAAATTTTCTTGACAAATTAAAATTAGGTATAAATCGATGATAGTTAGGAATTAACTAAAGATCACTGTATGATTTCTTTTTTGCCCATTTCAGATATGTTAATTAGAATCAGAACAAACAAAAGCAGATTTTGTTACTCTTTTAGTATTAAAACTCACTTTGTGTCTGGGGAAAGCAGAGTAAGAAACAATACTATGAGTCTTTATCAATAGAACTGACAAATAATTTTAATAAGTTATGGTCATTTCGTGTCGTAAGATTGTTTACAGTATCTTGTCTACCCCTTAATTTCTTCTGACCCTCTCAGTTGTTTCCTGGCAAGTTCACTAATTAAGTAGAGGAAAGAACATGGGTCAAAAGACTAAACCATGAAGCTAGTCTGAGAGGAGCTGACTTTTGGTAGATCCTTTTGATGTGTTCTATGCTACACATTTGCTAGAAGGAGTTCTTGGATGCTGTCTGACCCTGGCAGGGGTATGCCATTGGAACCTGGCTTCATTTTCCTTCAGTGGATTCCTGGAGCATGGCATTGGGTGTAGGTCCTTTGGGAGCAGTTACTGGGATAGGTGGGAGGATTGACAAGTGAATTGGACATGACCCTGACCTTCAAGCTGCAATGTAGATTGAGTTTTAAAATACCTTCATATTTTTTGTTGCCATATGAGAATATTAGGCCAAGGAGATTCTGTCTTTAATATTCACCATGTCTCTCTTCGTGTGCCATTGTGTGGTTTATTACCTTATCTGTCTCCTCTCATAAACAAGCAGTAAAAATAAAAAAGAAATCCATTGCTGTTGGGTCAGTTCCAGCTCATAAAAACCTACAGGTTGATGTTGTTAGATGCTGTCAAGTTGAGTACTGCCCATAGTGACCCTGTGAACAACATATCCGAGCCCTGTCCTGTGCTGGCCTCACCATCTGTGACACACTTGAGCCCATTGCTGTAGTTACTGTGTCAATCCATCTGGTTGAGAGAGAGTAGATCATTTGTCTTCCATGGTTTCCAAGGCTGTGATCTTTACAAAAGCAGATTGTTACACTGCTTCGGAGTGGTTGGTTGGTTTGAACCTTTTGATTAGGAGTCAAGCACTTAAGCCACTGTACTACCAGGCCTTCTCTTCGTTTTAACTGGCCATGGTAAAGGTGAAATGTATTGTTAAATAAGGTTTTATATCCTTTGCTTAAATTTTTCTTTAGTGGTTGGTTTATTTCTTTGCCACCTGTAAGTAAAGGGAGAGTTAGCAGGAGGAAGAGAGGTTTGCTTTCTTTGTGGAAGCCTTTAAGTTGCAATATAGGTTGTGTTACCCTGGACTGTAATTAATGTAAGGAAGAAAATCTGTTTTCAGTACCTCCCAGAGGTGCCCTTTGGAACCATTGCATCTGTTTACAGATCTTCCCTGTGTTTGGTAATCTGAGGGGCAACAAATGAATTTAGGAATGAATTCTTAGGCTGTTGGTATTTCTTACTCTATGCACCCACTACATCTCTGTAGGGAGTTTCTGGGCGATGCAGTGGTTAATGCTTGTAGCTGCTAAGCAGAAGATTGGCAGTTTGAGTTCACCCAGAAGTGCCTGAGAGGAAAAGCCCACCAGTCTGTTTATGAACTATCAGCCACTGAAAACAGAACAGCACATTTCTACCCCGTGGGGTAACCAGGAGTCAGAATTGACTTGATGGCAAAGACCACCACCATCTGTCCTTGAAAACGATATGCTAATTAAGTGTTAAATCCTGTTCATGCGGTAGAAAGGATAGGTTATTAAATCATAATGAAATGTTTTAAAATAGTGTGGTTACCCAGTCTTTTTCTAAATGGAGATCAGATTTTTCTCACATAACAGTGCATTTGTTTGCTGGTGCTTCACTTATTTATGAGTAACACGCGGTCAGGACATAATTTAGTCATCTGTATATCACCCATGCTAACAGTTCAGCAGGACACTTATGGATAACAGTTATGGAAAGGGTAAGAGGAGAAAACAATTTTCCGACATAATGGTGAAAAACTACTTGGATTTCAATAGACTATTATTAGTGGAAGATGATTTGGCTCAGAAATTAAAATACTGGCTGTTTGAGATTCAAGATTCAAGAAGTCAACATTTACTTCTTGGCAGGGCAGGCAAGACCAGGTAAAATAAAGACAGTCATGAACACTTAAAAGGGGTAGAGTGTGGTCAGTAGAGAAGTAACTTAATACTCTCCTCCATTTTTTTTTCAGTAACTTAAGTACTGTGTTTTTGAATATTTTCATGTTATAACCTACCCATCCATAGCTGACCCTTTAGTGGGTTTTTAGAGGCAGTAAATTTACAGGAGGAGATTTCTCATCTTTTTTCCATGGACCAGCTAGTGGATTCCAGCCACGTACCTTTGTTTTGGTAGCTTATTATCTTACCACTAAGCCACCAGCACTCTCTTAATATTAACTTAATAAGTGAATTAATTACTAAAGGTTGAAGTGACATTAACTACATTCTCTGCAGTAGATGAGAGAGAATGAGTATAAGTATTAACATAAGATCTAAAGGCTAGATGTGGCTGTCGATGCACACAGGTGCTTTAGGGGCATAGAATAGTGCATATGCAGGCAGACCTGGGCTAAGAATATCTGCATAGCCAGCTCCTGCCTGCCCTTTAAACGGTGCTTCACACATACTCTGTCATGGGTGATGCAGTAGACCACACTTCGATTTTTATGATTGGGGGGACTCTTCCTGGTAACTGACACTGGAAAAATGGAGAGTCAGAGCCTTGGATTGTTGACAGACGTGTGGAGAACCACTTGTTTAAAGCGGCACAAGTAGTTGGCCATCATTCCTGGTGGAGGGCTGCCATCCTTCAGTGGGTGACATGGTTTCAACTCAGCTTTTGTTTAATGTTTACATAAATCATGTCCCCACCTACTCAGACATAAATTTCTTCATCACAGTTACCTTCAATTGCTGCATGTAACTTTGAAATTATTTAGAAGTCTTTTTGAACCTTTCCTTACCATAAAGTAAGGCTAAATGAACCATAGGCACTTGTTTTAATGGACTTAAATATTTTTTTTTAACTACTCTTTCCATCTTTTATCAAGATTCAGGGTCACTGTTCTCAGACCAAAGCCCATTATCAGCCAGGATCAGGGTCTCTTCTTAGGGAGGGAGGAGTCCATGTAAGAGCTCACTTTCACAAGGTGATTAAAGACAGAGAGGGGACCCTGTTCTTCCCCAAACTGGTATAAGACCTCGATGCCTCCAAGTATCTGTCCAGCTGTGGCCACCTGGCTGGATGTTGACCCTTGGGAGACAAGGGACGGCAGGAGAGTTTGAGACGTCCAGGTCTTAGAACAGTTTCTGTCCTGGTCAGGTCATGATGGATGGGCTGCCCTTGTCCCCTTCCTGGGGTGTAGCCTGTGAGCCAAGTGGCTCTACTGAGTTTGAAAAGCAGTGTGTCACCTTTGCAGCTTCCGGCACCTGCAGGTGTCTGGGTTGAGCTCTAAGCCCCGCCCTCGGCAACGGAGGAAGCTGCGGCGTCGGCAGCGACAGCGGCAGGTCGGGGGTTCAGGGCGCTGGCGGCGCTGGGCACAGGTGGGCACAGGGGCCTGGGGCTGGAGTGGGATGGGTGATGTCAGCTGGGGAAGGTGCTCTGGGGATGGAGTCCCAGCCCGGAATGGAGCGGGGCTGAGGGCGGTGACGGGGAGTGGCAGCCCTGTCTGGCTTCCCAGCACTGTCTCTTTGTTTTGGTCTGCATTCACATTGGCTGTGCTCTTCCAGGGACATCTCCCCCAGCTGGCTGCTAGGGTACCGGATCATGAGGATCTGCATTCGCACTTGGTGTTGGCCTGTGGGCACGCACTCCAGGCCGTCGTCGGGGCAGCAGCCACCACAGCGGTGCACAGTCACACAGCTAGGCACAAGCTGCTTGGTCACAGTGCCCATGAGCTCCACTGTCAGGGGCACTACCATCTCCCGTGGCTGGCAGGCGGCGCGGGCGTATACGTCGATCCATGATACCACTTTCTTCTGGTGACTAGGGGCATCAGGCTGGGAAGCAGGGGCCTGGGCGGGAGCCAGCTGCAGGAGCGTGGCAAACAGCAGGCGCCGGAGCAGGGGGCCCATGGTGGCCTTGGGGGCCGCACTCCTGGAGCGCCCGCATCGCTCTAGCCTGGCGGCGCGGGGTGCAGCGGCAGCCACAGACCCATGGCGCGGGCCAGGGCTCGGGGAGCAGGGGCCGGGCGAGGGGGGCGCCTCCTCCAAGGCCCCCTCCCAAGCCCCAGGCACCGGCAGGAGGAGCGGCGGCGGCGGGAGGAGCTGGGCGGGTGGGCAGCAGGCGGCAATATGGGATTGGTGGGGGGCCGGGCTGGGGCTGGCGGGCGGGCAGCTCCTGGACTTAAATATTTTTAAAGACATGAAAATGGATCTCATGTGTACAACCTGGTAACTGTCTGCCTATGCTTGTAAGCTTAGTTCGTTGTTTAGTCTTGTGTGTTGAATGTTCCAAGGAGCACTTTGCTCGCAAGTGGTACTATTTAGTTTTGGGCCAATCTGTGATTTGCTGGAAAAGTGACTTCTGGGACTGGCTTCAGTTATAAGTTGAAACAATATCATAGGGTACAGACTCAGGTTATTCTAGTCTATATCAATATAGTGTATCTGGTATTTATTTATTTAGTTATTTCTTTTTTTCCTTTCTTTTCTTCTCCCTGCCTCTTTTTAAACAGTCCCTCGGTAAGGACTATCCACTTAGCTTTTTATCCAAAGATGAAATTTGTAGGTGAAAGGAGTTAGGAGTTAGCCTTCGTTACAGACTGGTTCATTTCAGGGTCGAAAATATGGAACGCTTCACGAATTTGTGTGTCATCCTTGCGCAGGGGCCATGCTAATCTTCTCTGTATCGTTCCAATTTTAGTATATGTGCTGCCGAAGCGAGCACAATGTATCTGGTATTTTTTAAGACTTTGGATTTTGTTTTCCATTTTTTTCTTTCATTCGGACTAAGGTCTTCATTTTTTTGTCTGTGGTCAGAGCTTTTTGTGGTGGTAGCAGGGTACCATTTTGTTCATCTGGCCTCAAATTAGAGGAGACTGTCTCCTCTGGGCTGTTGTTGCTATTGTGTGTTGTTGGGTTGGAACCAGCCAATAACTGACACTTCAGTGGGTTTCATAGATAGTAAATTACACAAAAGATTGCCCGTCCTTCTGCAGAGCAGCTGGTGGTTTTGAACCGCGTACTTTTGGGATTACAGCTCAAGTTCTTACCACTAGGCCATCCTTTTGGTCCATTGTTGCTGTTGTGTGTTGTCAAGTGGTAATTAACTCATAGCTGACCCTCCAATGGATTTTCAGAGGCAATAAATTTAACGGGAAGGGACTGCCTAGTCTCCCATGAAGTAACTGGTGTATTTGAACCGTGTGCTTTTGGGATTGCAGCACAGGTTCTTACCACTAAGCCACCAAAGCTGCCCTTTGGCCCATTAGTCCTGTGGATTTCTTGAGCCTTTCATTTACTTTAGTTGGCTATAGACAGGAAGATGCTAGAGGTTGTTTCTGGCAGCTCAAAAGCTTTTAAGAACTCAGATGATATTTACCAAGCTATGACATAGAACATTATGAAGTATGTTATGCCGCTAGACCTAAATAATACTCTGTGAATATGGTCTTCAAACCCAGTAGTAAGTCGGTTTCATAAAGTGTTTTGCGTATATTTAATTTTCACAAGTATGCCTTCTGTGTTTCCTCTTCACACACATGCACTTTCCCTCGCTCATATATGTAGGGGTGTGTGTGTATCATGTAGGTATGTAAGTAAGGGAGCTCTGGTGGCCTAGTGATAAGGAGTTATGCTACCATCCCAAAGGTACAGAATTCAAATCTGCCTGCTGCTGTACCAGAAAAAGATGGTCAGTGTACTCCTGTGCGATTAACTGCGCTGAAAACCTACTAGAGGGTCAGCTATGTGTTGGTTCTTACTCAACAGTGCATAACAATAATAACATAAGAATATGCAACATATACAAATATGTACATACAGTGTCCACAACTTGACCTACATAAACACGTACAAGTGCGTACAGTATGCTCTGCCATATGCCTGTCACACCTGTATAGCATTAACATCTACCTGTGTAACCACTTAAACTTTGGGTTATTACTACTGTTATAGAATGTATATTGTTAGGTGCCTTCAAGTCAAGTATGACCCAGTGACCCTATGAACAGTAGATCTGAATCCTGTGCCATCCTCACCATTGACTCACTTGAGCCCATTGTTGAAGTCACCATGTCAGTCTGTCTCTGTGGGGAACTTAGTCTCTTGTTGAACTTCCACCCTTCCAAGCATGATATCCTTTTCCAAGGAATAGCTTCTCCTAGCAACAAGTCATGTCCAAAGTAGGAGGGATGAAGCTTTGTTATCCTTACCTCCAAGAAGCACTCCATCTGTACCTTTTTCAAGACATACCTGTTTGTTCTTTTGGTGGTCCACGGGTTATTCAGTTCTTTTCACCAACATTACAACTCGGGTATCAATTCTGTCATCCTTACTAACTACCCACCTCTCAGGTTCGTTTCAAGTGATTGAAAAGATCATGGCCTAAATCAGATGCACCTTTGTCTTCAGACTGACATCATTGCTCTTAAGTATTTTAAAGAAATCCCGGACAACAGACTTGGCCAAAAACCAAGTCTGTTACAGTATTTACTGTTACTGTTGAAATCTAGTAAGGCAAAACTGACCTGTGGCTGGCTCCTCAGTGGGTTTTCAGAGGCAGTAAATCACACGGGAAGAGAGTGATCATCCTCCTCCTGCAGAGCAGCTGATAGATTGGAACCAAGTGTGTTTGGTTGGCAGTGGAACTCCTTCCTTGCTACTAAGCATCGCAGAGCTTCCTCAGGCCCTCACAGTTCTCTGTAAACCTTGGTCACATTGCGAATTGCCATTCTTGTCACCAGATTAACTTGTCCAGTCTCTAGTTCTCCCCTTTCCCTCCATCCTTGATAGCTATCGGAAAATGGTTCTTCCATTATGTAAACTTATTTCTGATTTTCTGTAGATGGTAATTGTCCTTTTCTGACTGACATAATTAGCTTACATAATGCCCTCCAGATTCACTTATGTTCAGTTTTGCAGATTCATTGTTTGTTGTTGGGTAGGATCCACTGTATTTGGGTATCCTGTTTTAGTTCACCCACGGGTCTGTTAATGGATACATGGGTTGTTCACATTGTTTTGGCTGTTAGGAGAAACGCTGCAGTGTCCCTCATTGCATTTGTTGTACCCATGTTAGTAGCTCTTATTTCTCTGGAATGATATACTTAAGTGATTGCTGGATTATATCCTATTTCTCTTTCTAGCTTTTTGAGAAAGTGTGGTATCATTTTACAATCACACTAGGAGTATTTAAGAGTTCAGTTCCAAGGAGAGAGAAAAAAAGAGTTCAATCTCCCACAACTTTGCCAAGATTTCTTATCATCTGGGTTGTTTCCCTCCCCTCCCCCCATCAGTGCTGCTTTTGGAGTGTGAGGATTGATTTTCTTCATTCTTAACTGTATAGTGTTTTAGAATGAGTAATAATGTAGTGATTTAGTTACTAATATTTAAATACAGTCATATTGACAAGTGGTTTATATTTTGATACTTCCAAAATGCTTCCTCTTTCCTGAAAGACTGGAGCCAGCTTAGGTAGCAAAAATGTTCTCATTGGACCACTGTAGTCCTCTGGTTTCAAGTTACTAACTAATGAAGCCTTTGCTGTGTTGAGGAGAAGGTCTGTGGAAGGTGGCTCTCATTGTCCTTGCTGGCCCTGCTGTGTGTCACCATATGGTCACCATCATTTAGATTTCTTGGAGTCTGCTTTCTCAGAGGGGTTTGACCTCAGCTGACTAGCTGCTTCATTTTCACAAATAGCAGCCAGCAGGTTGAAAAATGTGGGCTATTTTTGGGGGAGCATCTCATGGGCCTTTGGTGTGGTTTATATGTAGTAGAGTTTCTGTGTGTCTGTGGTAATAGTCTTGTCTGTCTTGTAGTTGTCATTAAATATGTTCTATAAAACATGCACAAGTAAAAAACAACCATTCATAAATGTTCTTTTGGCCTATTTAAAGAGGTATTTGTTAAATGAACTTTTTAGTTTGTTGAGAAGTCTAAATACATTTCTTGTTTTGTTACAGATAGGTGATCTTCAGCTTCATAAACTTGATGAACTAGATTGCTTAATAAAAGGGATTTTATATATTGATTCTGTTGGATTCAATGGACGTTCACAGTGCTATTACTTTGAAAATCCTGCTGATTCTGAAAAGTGTCAGAAGTTACCATTTGATTTGAAAAATCCGTATCCTCTGCTGCTGGTGAACATTGGCTCAGGGGTTAGCATCTTAGCAGTGTATTCCAAAGATAATTACAAACGGGTCACAGGCACTAGGTAAGTCTCTTGAAAAAGTTGTTGTTTGTTTTAAATACCTTAATGGGTTAAAAGTGAGTTTTTAAATATTACATATAATTACATGTTTAAGAACTTGTTAAAATTACGTGAAAGTTAATTTTTTTGAAGATCATGCTGTTTCTTTTTTGAAAACGTCATGTCTTACTTTAATGGTCAAGATTTTATTACTAACATAATTGTTTCATAAACTAGCTGTGAGGTGGTAATGAGGAGAAGGCAAGATAATGCCCTAGCTATGAACTGCTAAGTAGGAAAATCATTGGAGTCGAGCATCTAGAAGACAGGAGAATGAATCTGTTTTGGCTTGAGAAATATTACATATGAGAAAATAAGCTGAGGAATTGGATAAACATTTTCAAACAGGCATGAGTTAAAAAAAATGAGTGGAGTAATTCTGGGGGAGAAAACATCTTAATGGAAGAATGTGGTCAAGTGAGGGGAGTGTACTTATGAGCCAGGGTAAGAAATTACTAGATGTGAGTGACTTGGAGCATGAGATTAGACTAAAGGGGGAGGGGACAGTCTGTGTACAGGACTGATTACACCGGAGGCCATGCATTCTCAGCAGCACCCCGACTACACCAGGGCCCAGGCTTCCTATAGGCATCTGTATGATTGGGGAGAGGTTGGTGTCTGAGCATTGTTTTGTGACTCATAAATGTTATCCTTCTGTTGTACTGATTAGCTGTTAAAAAAAATGTTCTAGTGCTGCATTTTTATTTTAACACAGCCTTGGAGGAGGAACCTTTTTTGGTCTCTGCTGTCTTCTTACTGGTTGTACCACTTTTGAAGAAGCTCTTGAAATGGCCTCTCGTGGAGACAGCACGAAAGTGGATAAACTAGTGCGAGACATTTATGGAGGGGACTATGAGAGATTTGGGCTTCCAGGCTGGGCTGTGGCTTCGAGGTAAGGAGGTGTGTATGTGCTAGAATATACAGGAATAAAAAGAAATCCTGAACTGCTCGCTCTGTTTTTTTTATTACAGACATTTATAGAAATGATTCATCTACCATGGAGGTCATCTTTGGATAATTTTGGGTACGATAGAGTGGTTTCTAGTATATTTATAGAGAACAACAGTGGAGCAAATAGTTAATATGTTTGGCAGTTCAAGTCCACCTAGGACTGTGTAAGAAAAAAAAATGCCTACTTCTGACAAATTAGTGATTGGAATACGTGTCCAGTACAGTTCCACTCAGCTACACAGGAGGTTTCTGTAAGTTAGAATGAACTGGGTGGTGCCTGGTGGGTGATTTCAAAGGTGTATATCCATCACTCTAGTCCAGTATCAGAACATGGTCATTATTCTGTGTGCCCGTTAACCATGGCGGCTCATTGTCCTTAGCCTTGTTGTTGTTAAGTGCTGTCGAGTCGTAGGTAACTCATAGCCACCCTGTGAGCGAAAGTCCTCAACACTTGTATGATTTTGATTGTTTCTCCAAGTTCATAGGTTTTCCGAAGGCAAGCTGTTATGGAAGTAGATGCCACTCCTGCTTCCAAGCTTGTTTTAATAGGGGAGCTCCACCCAACACCATCCACCATGGGTACCCATTACCGCATTTGACACCACATCAGTGTCAGTTTTTTAAGAAAAAACATGATGAGCCCAAAAGGATTAGAGAAGGAAATGGTTGGCGGGGTGTGGGGGGAAATAAATGTACAGGAACAATGAAAGAAAAGTATTAACTCTTGAGAGTCTGTGGCAGACCCTTAGTCCCTGGCAAACACGATTCTCCGTTTTGCCCTTTGAGACTTGTTATGGGCATGTCATGAAAACGGTATCATGTGGTCTTTTTTAAAATTTTTTTTTAAAAATTATTATTGTGTGTACCGTCAAATTGGATCTGACTGGTACTGGAGGTGATTGTCCCTCCTTCTCCAGGAGAGCATGTGGTGGATTTGAACCATGCACTTCTGGATTGCAGTGCAGCTTCTTGCCGCTAGGCCACCAGAGCTCCCCATCATGTGGTCTTTTATGACTGGCTCCTTTCACTTAGTATATAATGTTTTCAAGGTTTAGCCACATATGAATCAGTACTTTATTCCTTATTGTTCACTAATAGTCCATTGGATAGATAGAACAACCTATCCATTTATCATAGAACATTTAAATTGTTTCTAGTTTTGGGTTATTAAGAATACTGTTGTGAATATTCATGTGTAGTTCTTTATGGGGACTTAAATTTCCATTGTTCTTGCAATGACTTTCTTGGGAGAAAGATGGACAGTCAGCTTCTGTTGAGACCACCTTGCAGAGCCATTGGAGGGTCACTGTGAGGTAGACCAGTTTGCAGCAGTGAGGTTTGGTTGGAATGACTGATGGAGGAGGCAGAGTGTGGCCAGTTGTGCAGGCCAGTAGTTTGAAGTTAGCCATCACTTAGTGGGGTCCTCCCATTTAAGATTTATGGTACCAGGAACCCAATGGTCGTTAGCTGCGGTGGCACTGCTTTGGTCTCTCAGTGACCATGTGCACATGGCTCCGCTTGGGCCTGCATGTCCTCACAGTGGGTCTTGTGCTTGGGTTCATTACTACAGGCACTGTGCCATTGGGGAGCGCAATGCGACCTCCTGAGTGGAGCAGCTGTGTGGTTGGGGTAATTTAAAAGTTGTCTGTCCCTGGTTCCATGGGGAACAGCAGCATCCTGTTGGCAGAGCTGGTGAGCATGCAAATTTCTGGTGCCAAAGGTTGACTTCAGGAGCAACTACAAGGAAAGCCATCTTCTAATTCAGAATATTTGGGGGTGCTATGACTGGAAGAGATCTATATTTGTTCCCATTCCAAAGAAAGGTGACCCAACTGAGTGTGGAAAGTACAGAACAGTGTCATTGATTTCACATGTAAGCAAGATTCTACTGAAGATCATCCAAAAACGATTAGAACAGCACATCAGCAGAGAACTGCCGGAAGTCCAGGCTGGGTTTAGAAGAGGTCGTGGTACTAGGGATATTGTTGCTGATGTTAGATGGATCTTGGCTGAAAGCAGGGAATACCAGAAGAATGCCTATCTGTGTTTCATTGATTATGCAAAGGCATTTGACTGTGTGGATCATAACAAACTGTGGCTGACTCTGAGAAGAATGGGTGCTAATGCGAAACCTGTACTTGGATCAAGAGGCAGTAGTCAGAACAGAGCAGGGTAACACTGCATGGTTCAAAATTGGGAAGGGTGTACGCCAGGGATGCATCCTGTCTCCATACCTTTTCAACATGTATGCAGAGCAGATTATCTGAGAGGCTGGGCTCTATGAGGAGAATTGTGGCATCAGGATTGGTGGAAGATCTATTAACAATCTCCGTTATGCAGAGGAGGACCTCATGCACTTGCTGCGAAGGGTCAAGTACTGCAGCCTTCAGCATGGATTGAGGCTCAGTGTCAAGAAGACAAAGATTCTCGCCACTGGACCAATTAGCAGCGTCAGGATGGATGACGAAGAGATTGAGAGTGGTCACAGCTTCAGTTTGCTCAGCTCCACAGTCAACACTCTTGGCACCAGCAGTCAGGAAATCAAAAAGCGTATTGCGATGGGAAAGTCTGCTGTTAGGGACCTCTCAAAGGTACTCAGGAGCAACAGTGTCTCTCTGGAGACTAAGGTGCGCCTGATACAGGTCATGGTATTTGCAATCGCTTGTTATGCATCAGAGAGTTGGACAATGACTAGGGAGGACAGAAGGATGCTTTTGAGCTGTGGTGCTGGAGAAGAGTACTGAATGTACCCTGGACTGCCAGGAAAACAAACAGATTCATCTTGGAGAGGATTAAACCAAGCTACTCCTTGGAGGCAAGGATTCTGGGGCTTCCTCTGACATACTTTGGACATGTTGCCAGGAGGGACGGGTCCTTGGAGAGGGACATCATGCTTGGGAGGGTGGAGGGACAGCGCCGGAGGGGAAGACCCTCTATGAAATGGATTGATTCGGTGACTGGGGTAATCGGGATGGGCGTGTCAGAGGCGGTGCGGTTGGCGCAGGATAGAGCAGGGTTTAGGGGGGTCGCTATGAGTCGGAAACGACTCGACGGCACATAACAACAACAACAACATTTGCTATTTGAACCTGTATTTCTCTTTAAACAGATAGTCTAGTAAATAGATACTCTTATTATTTTGTCATTAAAAGTGTGAAGAGCGGAATATGAGCAGTGTCAGTTTGAAGTTGGTTTTGTCTTACGAAAGTAACATTTAAGTTATGTTGGGCCAACGTGCTTTTGCTTTAGCATTGAGTCTTATTTTTCCACCACAGCTTTGGAAACATGATGAGCAAGGAGAAGCGAGAGGCTGTCAGTAAAGAGGACCTCGCCAGAGCCACGCTGATCACCATCACCAACAACATTGGGTCAATAGCACGAATGTGTGCCCTTAACGAAGTAAGGACATGTGGATCTCTTCTCCTGTGTGAGGAACACAGAGCTTCCTAAACAGGCCCCACCTTGTGTGTTAGGACTTATCTTCTCAGACTAGTGCCTGCATGGTCCATGGGACAGAGTATTTCACTGCACAGTTGAAAGACTTTAAACATAGACAAGCCTTAATTGCTCTTTTTCTTTCTTACTAAAAACGAGCACTGCTTTCTCTCTAAAAGCCAAACTTGTCTTTTGAGGGGGGAGTAGAGGAAGGGAGCCAGCATTCCAGAGGTGATGGATTAGTTGAATGATGTCGATAATGCCGTGTGTGGCCGCAAAGCTCAATCTCTGGAAAGAAGGGAGCTCTGGTGGCCTAGTGGCAAGAAATTGCACTGCAATCCGTAAAGCACGAGGTTCAAATCCACCAAATGCTTTACTGGAGCAGGAGGGACAATCTCCTCCGGTGCTTGTCGGATCCCACTCAATGGAACACAAGAAAAAAAAGAATCTCTGGGAGGACTCCAGAGGAAGTGAATCCTGGAAGCTGGGAGAAGCCTGAGTGGGCAGAGGGAGGCCCACCACACTCCTCAGTCAGCAGAGCTGCATCTTGGTGCTTTCAGCTTCTTTACAGTGCTGCCTTGTGGCATTCAGGTCAAGCAGCATTGTACAGGGCTATGAAAGAGCTGAGAACGGGCTGCCGGGTGCAGGCTGCAGGACTGGTGCAGCTTTATATTCTCTGTTTGTCAGTTGTCATTTACAATTGTTACTACAAATAGATAACATTGGTATGTGGATGTTAAAAAAAAGAAACACAACCACACTAACTTTTGAAAGGCTCACACAAAGTTGTCTTGTTTTAATTTAAAAAGACTTTAAGCATCAAATGTTCAAGAACCAATTTTCATTAGACTAATGATACTACTTTTATAATACTATTTTTACCTTTATTTTACATCGTGCCCTTTCTATGCTTATATATTTTAAGGCATTGTAGTATAACAATGTTTTTACATAACACATTTTATGGCTGTATTTCATGATTAAATTATTTTCTATCAAGTACTCACTTAGTGGTAGGCATTTGGTTGGTTGCCCTTCAGTGACTGCAAAGTAAACACTTCTCCATTGAAGATACTCTTTGATGACATTTTTATTCTTGATAAAAGTGTGTGCAGTGGGTGAATGGATCCAGTTCACCAATGTTGAAGATAGAAATTTAGTTATTTTGCCAACTTAAAAGGCTTACATTTTTTAGTTCTTTTTGCTTATCATTGTCATTTGCTTTCTTTTCCCCAGTTTTTCTTGCTAGCTGGTATAACCTCTTATTTGATAGCAGTATTTGCCATATTTAACACAGCGGTTTTTTCCTGCTCTCTCTCTGTTCTGGGGTGTTTTCTGGTATGCTCAGAGATGAGGCTGAAGTTGTGTGGAGACAGGCACGAGAGCAGTGTCGGGCTAGTTGTGAGGGTGGCCTTGTCCCAGGTTGTGCTGGTGCACTCCGGTGGTTCAGATCCACTTGCCGTTCCTGGGAGATAGATCAGCCTTCTCCTCCCTTTAAGATTATAGCTTCTGAAACCAGACGGAGGCTTGTGAGTCAGGATTTAATTTGTTGAGGGGACAGTTAAGCGGATGAAAACTAAACTACTTTTTTTTTAACCGTATCCAGAACATTAACCAGGTGGTATTTGTTGGAAATTTCCTGAGAATTAATACGATCGCCATGCGACTCTTGGCATATGCTTTGGATTATTGGTCCAAGGGGCAGTTGAAAGCACTTTTTTCAGAACATGAGGTAAGCTGAGTTCTGCCTTGCAATGTATCGTATCCACAGAGGGCAAGCAGTCGTGTTGATTTGAAGTAGAAGAAGTATGAGAAGGAGTTTAACTTGCTGATATTCAAAGGAAGTATTTTACCTGATTTAATGTGAAGTAGATTTTTGGTTAATGTAATTTTTAGCTTAAGCAAGTTGTAAAGGAAAACAATCATAGGAACCATTCAGCTATAATTTCTGGTGCCATGTTTTCTAAACCATTCTTTGTGATTTCCCATCTGAACTTACTCTATGAGTTTTGGATTTTTTAATTTTGATGTCCGGATTATTTTTTAACCTCCACCCCTTATGTCAGTTTTTAATTATTGATAAAGTTCATATGCCATTTCAGGTGTGTGTTCTGAAAACAGGTAAATAAAATAATGTCCATGGATAGAATCACACCCCTTAAAACTGACCGTGTATAGACAGACATCCGTGTCAGCTGCTCAGGCTCCCCTGCTGCCTTGGAAGAACGCTTTTACTTTTTCTATTTGGGGCAAAATTAGAAACTAGACAATGGAAACCCTTTCCCTCCTGGTCAGCCCAAGGGTCTGTTGGCTGTGTAGACACTGTTGGTTTGTTTGCACCTGCTCCAGAACTGCATGTTGAACAGTGTTGTCATGACCTGACAGAAATCAGAGTGGGATGTGAACGGTCAAGGGGAAAACTTGAGCAGCAACCTATGCTATGCAGGTGACACGGTGACACAGCTTTGCTTGCAGGAAGTGAAGACTAGAGACACCATTATTAGATCAGTAGAGATTACTACATCTCATTATCAAAACAGAAGTCTTCTACTGGAACAGTAGTCCAGCATTGTGATAGATGGAGAAAAGATTGAAGAGTTTCCGTTTACTTAGGTCCATATGTAGCACCCATGGTTATAGCAGTTAGGAAATCAGAAGTTTTTAATTTTGTTGAACATACATAGCAAATCATAGACCAACTGAATCGTTCTGCATGTATAATGTCAGGAGTTGAACAACATTCTCACCGCCTTTTACATTAACATAAACTCCCAGCCCCCAGGGTTGCTTATTCAACGTTTAGGTTGCTTTTGTCGGTTTGCATAACCTTTTAATTATCCATCTCCTTTTGGTGACATTTCGCATATTTTATATTAGAATAAAAAGAAGCTGTTTAATCTCATTTTGAATATTACTTTGTTTTAATGTGGGCTTTGTCCTTGCTTAATCACTGCCTCTTGTTGAACCTTTTTGTAGCAGGACGTGTGTTCACTTCCCTTTTTTATGTATGTCTTCATATCGTGATTGCTGTAAGCCCTTTGTGAAATTCTGCTTACTCTTAATCTGTTGCTCACTGGCTTACTTTTTCCATTTGTTTCATGCTCTTCATTTGTATTCAGAGTTTTGATGCTAGACTATCAAACGTGGCTTTTAGGTGTATTGAGCCTTGGAGTTTTCTCCTGTTTTTACACTGAAGTCAGCTATGTTACTGTTTTGAATAGATTCCCCTCATGCTTTGGCTGTTTTCATCTTAGCACTTAGTAGCTTAACAACCTTTATTTTCATTTACTTGATAAGGTTACTCAGTAAACTTTGTTTTTTAAAAAGAAAACAGATACTGAAGTAATAGAAAACAAAATGTAGTGCTGTGTATGAAGTGCACGGCTGCATCCTCCGAGCCCTGCGTGCTGCAGTGTCCTGGCTCCTCAGCCGGGCACTCCACAGGTCTGGCCCTGTTGTGGCAGGAGTGAGGTGGCACCGCGGCTGGCCTTCGCTGCTGTTGTGTAGTCATATTTCTAGGGGAAACTCTTTTTTAAGGTCGACTGAGCTCATTTATCTGTGCTGTTTTAGAGACATTCAGTATATCCTTCTCGACCCACAGGCAAGTGTTGAAGGGGCTTCTTCCTTTACTGCTGGAGTGTGTGTTCTTTGCCCATTCCTGCTGGTGTTCTCTTTCACTCATTGTTGATGTTGCCTCCTTTCCTTTAAGAGTTAGTCCTTTTGTTATTTGGTTATTTGACTTGATTCTTGGTTGTACTTGACCACGCTGACTTGACTTCTGAAGGAGTCAGTAGCTCTTTCTTTGCCTCTGTGTCATGGTTTGTCCTCTCTGCAGGAGCTTCCCTTGTTCTCCAGACCTGCCCGCCCTGTGCACATGGTCTCCTCTGCCTGGGTGCCTCAGGACAGCCCTGACCTTCACTTTGGCTCCAAATCCAAGTATTCAGTTACCAGTTGGATACAGCTGATTGGTTACCTTGGGGACCCTGAACTGTCCACTCCCTGTTGGGCACAAGCCCTCTTTGCCTCTTTTTTTGTACGTTCCTGCTCTCAGGAGTGGTGCCACCAGAAGCTCCGTGGGAAGGGCTTCTTCTCATTCTTGATTCTACTCACCAACCTAGCATGGCCCTCACCCACAATAACCTGTCCATTCGGATTTTTCTCCCTTTGTTGCACTTTATTCACAGTCTCACTTTTATTCCTTTGTTATCTTACAATGTTCCAGGTCTCTGCTGACTCTCATGACTTCATTCCCTAGGACACAGTGCAGGTGTGTCTTTCCAGAGGTATCAGGACTGCGCTGGCATCTTCGTACCTGTTGTGCCCTGCTTGGGTCTTGGATTTTTTTTCTTGGTGGTGGACAGGTCTGGAGTGCCTCGTGCACCTGTCTCCTTTCCCAGCCTGGATGCTTCCGCAGCCTCCCTGCTTCCAGGCTGGGCTTGCAGGGACTCTGGTTGAGAGCAGTGCTAGCTTCAACACGAAGTGATCATATGTGCGGTAGCCTGTAGGAGTCTAAGGAGAATTGCTCTGACTTGTTGTTTCTTTTTTCCCCGTAGGGTTATTTTGGAGCAGTTGGAGCACTCCTTGAGCTGTTGAAGATCCCCTGATCATTACCTGGGGAGGGTTCCTGCAAACTTACACAATGGGATCGATCTGTGGACCTGTGTTTTTTAAGAGACATTCACTTTTACGATTGTGTACTACCTGAATCAAAGCAAGAAAGGACAAATGTATTTTTCTAAGTTGTCAATCTAAGCCATTAACAGTTCAGTCTAACCTAGTAACTGGTAAGGATATATATTCTATAAAAGAGTGGACCACGTCCACAGCGCTGAAATACCAGTTTGAGAGGATCTTCAGTGTATGTGCTGTGTACTGATTTAATTGTGCATTAAACCTGCTGTGTACCTTCAAAATCTCAGCATCACACACTGCAGATGCCAGCAAGTGCTGTTCTGTGCTCCGCTGACTGCGATTTTATGTCCTCTTTGAACTTGCACGTGTGAGGCGAACTCCCATGTGTTCTCATCATTATGCTGTCACTGTGGTCTTGGGGATCATCTTTGTGTTCCTGACATCCAGCCTCTGTGTGAAATCATTGGGGGTGGGGGGGCACTGTGATTCTGCAAATGTAACTAGGTTAATTCTGCACCTGACACTGGACAGTGAAGCTGTTTTGGAAGGTCAGTCCCATGTCACCCCCCACTGTGAATGCTGGGAAAGACGAGACTTCTTCTCCCCTGGTCAGGACTGATCTGGGAGGTAAGGGAAGGCACCACTGTTCACACAGGAGAGCAGCTAGGAGGCTGCACAATATGAGGGATCCCTACAGACATGCAGACAGACAAATAGGGCCTCTGAAGTGGTAACACTCTCAAAAGATGGTGAAGCATCTGGTTACTCTTTGAAGTTGCATGGAAAACTTGGAATTGAGATTCCCACTGATAAATGATGGGAGACGATGAGGACATTGGCTATGGCATCTTCTGCCCTTTTTTCCCCACTGTCCCAGCCTCCAGGATTTGCTAAAACTGCCTCACGGCTACTTCTGTTGGCCTGAGTCTGGGGCCTGCCGGTGTCAGGCTCATAACTGGAGGAGAAGGTGACAGGTTTCAAGGTTCAGTTTTGGTCTGCAGATTTATTAGAGAGAGAGGTGCAGTGTAAAGTATTTGAAAGTCCTTAGAGGTACATAACTTTTGCCTTTCAGATGAGTTGATGTCTAGACTACTGTTGTCAGCAAGGAAGAGGCTGGATAAACTAGCCTTTGAACTGGAAGGAAAACCTCGGGGCTCTGCTCTGTGGCTTCCCTGTGCCCCTCATGTGAAGCTTCATGTGGAGAGTGGGCCCAGTGATGGCCCCCGAGAGGGGGTCAGGTTGGCCATGGGACCAGAAAGGATGAAGATCTGGAAGGGATGAGAAGGGGTGATGAGGACTGGGCTGGGTCCCACTCTTGGTTCTGATGTGTTCCCAGCTTTAATGCACGAGCTCATGTCTAAGCTACATGGGAGCAGTGCAGACAAAAACCCACTGCAGGGACAGGGAGAGCCACACCTGCAGAAGCTGCTCTTGTCCTAGTGTATCTGTGTGTAGCTTGTGGGCATAGCCAGGATGGGCCTCACAATGGCTGCAGAGCGGGAACAATGCTGTGGGACTGGGACTTGGTTCCCCTGGGTCAGGGCTCATCACTCGTCCTCTGTCGTCCCTCTTGGCTTCCTAGGCCTGAGTGAGTTACCTTAGACCCACAGCCATCCCTTAGCAAGTCCCTCCTGTGGCTGCTTCCACCTGAGCTGTTAGTGGCCCCAGTTCTTTCCTTCAGGACTGCCAAAGGCCCCTCACTTGTCCACTTTAACTGAAGTCCCCTTGTACCAGAGAACAAGCAGATGAAACCTTCCTCTGAGTGGAGGCTTCCCCACTTCCAAGGATAGAGTGAGCTCACAAGGCCTGCCCAGCTGAGGTGCAGCTTCCTGCTGTGACATGCGCTTGACATGAATTGTTTTTCAACCCCCTTAAATAAAAATAAGGTGCTTAGAGTTTCACAGATGGGAGCCAAAGCCCAGTGAACCAAATGTGCCCGTGGGCACAATTGGGGGACCGTGAGACCACAGCTTGTCTGCCCTGCACCTTGACAGCCCTTTCTGCCTGCCTTTCACTATCATTATCCTCTTACCTGTTTTTTATGCGCAGCCCACCCAGTCATGTCATAAGACAATTCCTGAGCAGTTAATTCCCAGCAAATCTCATGTTAATAGGCCCAGTTTAGGAGCTCCTCTTCCTCAGCTCTCCCCAGCCACTCCTACCTCCTTTGCCAGCTCTTAATTCTTCTAGAGACAATGGCCTTTTGCAGGACCCAGCCTGCCTTCCCTGCACCCCCAGCAATGCTCCTGATCAAGGCCACCCCTGGCTGCCTCACCTCTGGGTGGATTTGCATCTCTCCATTTCTGAATCTTCACGCCAGCTCGACACTGAAATGTTCATTTTCTGCCCCTAAAGCCCTACCTACCATAGTCTTGTTCCACTTTATTGCCACTTTGCTACTTCTGGCTTGTGAAGTGGATGTAAATGGAGTTTCCTGTCACCACCACAACCCTAGTGGTCATCTGTCATGTTCCAGATTCCTGTCAAGGCAGGGAGGTAGGGAGCCTGGCAAGGAGGTGCTGGTTATTGTGTAGGTGAGACAGGAAAAGGACTTGAAGTAAAAAGGGGAGGGCCAGGCTGAATATCGGGAAGAGGGCAGGGAGGGTTCAGCAGGTTTTGTACTCTGATCCTGAAATTGGAGGTGGGCAGGCAGGTGGGTACTTGTTTTGGAACTGCTGCCTGGGATAGTGCACATCCAGGTGGGTTGAGTGAAGTATGGGGTGAGTAGGAGATGAAGGAAAGTAGAGGTCACAGGTTTGAATGTGGGTGGTGTGGACAATGACAGCGACCACAGGACTTTGGCAAAGGATTTTTGGTAGTGGTTTTTCAGAATAGTTGATATTCTCAAGCCTTTGGATGAAGCTGTGATTATGGTTGGAGAGTTGAAGTGGGAGAGTCCTCCAGGTGTGTAGGCTTGTGAGGGACAGGCTGTTTTGTTCCCTTAAAGCCTGAAATCACCTTGACCATCCAGGCTGCATCTGCAGGACCCAAGTCAGTGTGCGGTTGGCCCTGTTCTGGTCAGAGCCACTCTGGGATACAGTGCGCTCTGGGCTGTGTGACCACAGGCTCTGGATGCAAAAGGACCAGTACAAACGTTTTACATAAGTATTTTCAAAATCTTTATTTGCATTGTTTACATCCAGTACATGTTTTTTTTAAATGAGATCATGATTAGCAAAAAAATGCATTAGAATCTTAAAATAGAAATTAAATATACAAAAATATAGCTTACAAAACCAGCAAATGTTTAAAATATTCTGCTGCAGAATTCTTAGGGTACAAACACGTCTATGAAAGCTGAGGCTCAGCATTTCATAAACCCTTTTTGAAGGAGTTACTACACAATTACTAGTGAATAAACCCCAAGGGACTGACCAAGATGGAAGTAATCCATCGAAACCATTGTTGGAAGACTGGGCATCACCAGGAGGAACATTTAACACTGGTCACACCTGTGCCCTGGCTCTCCCAGTCCTGGGAGGAATGGGCACATGAGGGGCTGCGGTGGGATGGGGGCTGGCTGGTGCCGACATGCCGCTGAAGGTCAGCGTCCAGTCATCCTTGCGGGGCCCAAGTTCAGGTGCATCTCAGGTGGCGAGGGTGTCTTACAGTCCAGAGGTGAGGACTGTGTGCATGGTCTAAAGGAATCTGCATCTTGCAATAATTTGGGCTCCAAAATGGAAAAATACATTCAATTAAATAAATGTACTGGCATCCTCTCAATAACAGCACATTGCATGACATACGGTCCTTCATTTGAGAAAAACTACCTACTAATGAATTGCCAAGTCCAGCAGAACCCGACATCTCAGCACCAAGGTGCATATCTCAGGTTCCCAAGAGTCTAAGATCAGCTGGGGAGCAGAGTTGGAAAAGGGTGGGATCCACACAATTCCAGGTTGGCTGGCAGGGGCTCAAGGCGCATTGTGGAGCTGGGAGTGGGGCGGGGCAGGTGTGCCTCAAGGTATGAAAGGCACTGGGCATCCTGGAGGAAGCAGCTTTTATCTGCACGAACAGAAAAGGACTTTTCTTGTTGAAGACCGGTTACTAGTGAGCGATTTCCAATTTATGGGAACCCTGCATAGGGCAGAATAGGGTCTCGGTTTTCAAGGTTGTATGGGGAAGTGGGTAACTACGTGCTTCTGTGAATGGTTCAGGTGGGTTTGAGATTTGCAGCTTAACACTTTAATTGTGGCACGACCAGAACTTCTGTTAGAAGAGCACTACTGCTGGGATAATTCTATTATATGGAAAAGCTAGCGGGAAGTATCTTTGTAAAGTGTGTGTGTGTGCATGCACGTACAAAGCTCGGCGTCCACATGAGACCACCGTGCAGCCAGACTTCACTGATGGGCTCTCGCCCGGACCCATCCAAGCCCACTCCAGTTTTGGACAAGCTGGGTATAAGGGGTGGGAAGGTACCACTCGGTTGCAGTCAAATAAACAAGGACCTTGAATGAAAAGTAATGTGACTGCAAGTATGCTGCTCGTGCTCCCCACCCCCCACCCCCATTCCAGGGCTCGCTTTTTAGGGAAACGGCTGCTGGGGTGGCTTTTCCCCTATGAACAGTGTCACCTAGTGAAGCTCACACATGTGTTTACATCAAATCTTGAAAGATGCACAAGGAAGCGGTGGTGCACAAGGGGAGGGGCCTAGGCTGACTATCAGTAATAGGCAAAGTTTTTATCTGATTCATGAACCATGTGAAGGTATACTAACTTTTCATAAAACTAGAGCTCAGCAATAAAGTCCCTGTGGGATGTACGCGGAGGCCACTGGAGGTGAGAACAGGTGGATCAGGAGAGAAAAAGGTGTATGTGGGAGAGGGGTGGTTTCTAGCAGTTTAGTGGCCCTGTGAGCACTGGCTCCCAGCAGCTGACAGCTTCACACACGCTGGAGAGAAGGACCCCACCCCTGCCACCTGAGTCCGTCCTGACTCCTGGGATCCCTCCACAGGCTTCGGGCCATAGGAAGGCAGACACCTGCTGGCTGGC